ACTAAATTAATTAGTTAGCAAATTTCTTTAAAAATTTTTTTTTTGACTTATTTAAAATAAAAAAAATTACAAAAATTAGGAAGATTCCGTTTTTATTCGGTTCTTGATCTAGAACCGAGAACCGAACCAAACTCGTCAGTTCTCGATTTAGATACTCATTTGAGTATTTAATTTAAGAAGAACCGCTCGATTTGGTTCATTTTGGTTCTGTCTGATTTGGTCCGATTTAGTTCGAGAGTTTTATCCAACCCTATCTAAAACTTAACATGAATGAGAAAAAGACCATTCTACAATTCATCCAAAACTTGAAGAAATTTTTGATTCTTCACGTATTCAAAGTCTTAGTTTTTTATTTGTTCATTTGAAGAATTACTTTGCTTTTGGTGTTCTTCGTTAAGGCTTGATAAATCTTTCGAACTATTTGCTATTTCAATCATTTAAAAGTCATAAGAGAATAGACAAATATCATTTGAGAAAAACAATATATTCTTCATGTTCAAGCTTTGTCGTACTTTTATATTCATCATCTTTTTCCTTTATTTTCTTTTTACATAACAATAAGATGCTTCATAAGACAAATTGATGACTCACCTCCACGGGAACCTTCACATTGTAGCGTATATTAATGTTTTTTTTCAGAAAGGTCTTCGAGCTTGTTGGGTACGATTAGCTAATTTTATTGCAGCAAAAATGATGAGATTTTTATTATTGCTTGAAAGCTGTATCTAGGTCGTATATCCATGTGCCTTTATTGGCTTGAGGTCATTTACCCATTTATGTTGGTGTCTGGATATCCCATGTTTCAACTTCGAAACTGCTCTTTTGTGGTCAAGATTCACACGACTCCCTTCTAGACAAATAAAATTGGAAATTTCCCAGAATTTTCATATTAAAATTAAAAATTGATAAAAATTTAGCACCGACTATCAAACTAGTTTGACGTGTTTAGTTAAAATTCTTAATTATGTATTTCATATAGTATTGTCTGATTAGGCCACTTTTCAACTGAATGAGCTCTCGTTTGGCATCTATTATTTCTCTTCTTATCAACCATACATTCTCCAATAAAATAATATTATACGTACACCCAAAAAATTTCCTTCTTTTTTAACCACACATTTTTCAAAAAATTACTATTCCTCTCATTATAACGTAGAATAATGGAAGCCAAACGGGCGCTGAAAATCTTGTGTTAGAATTAGTGGTGGCAAATGAGCCGAGCGGCTCGTCGGCTCGCCCGCTCGGCTCGTACTGTTCATGCCCACGAGCCGCTCGGGCTCGTCAAAAAACGAGCCCGAGCACGAGCCGAGCGGGCTGCCTCGCTAGGCGAGGCGAGGCGAGCCGGCTCGGCTC